TGCTTACCCGCTACAGTCTAAAGTCCTCATCTTGGATTTAGTGGTTTGAATTCATTTGAGCTTACTTTGGTCCTTTTTGTAATGCTTACATACTCAGAATCACAGAGTGTTTTAGATTGGAAGGGACCTCCTTGCCATCAAGTTTATCATACAGCCACTAAGAAGAAAGAGTGCCTTATACTGTCATAGATGTATTTAAAATGTTTGTCTGAACACGAGAATGTGCTACAATCTGAAGAGAACTCTTTGTGCATGTCTCCAGCTGTCTGCAATCTCAATGGCCCAACACTTGGGCATTGAGGAATTAAAGGTCCCAAAAGACCAGTGCCTGAGAGGGAGCATCTGCTCCTGAGGTCTTCAGAACCTTTAGTCAGAAATGAAGTCAAGCACAAGCCAACAGGGCAGAATGCATAGCAGTAGTTATGTCAAATGCAGCCATATCTGGATTAGCCATTGTGTTGCATCTGCCCCACTAACAGGAGGTTTAATGCACATCCAACCCACTGTAGTTCTGAGAGTTTAAAAATTCTGCATGAGACCAGTCCTAATTGTGGTCTAATTATTTCTCATTTTGCCAGAGTAATTCTTAAATGACAAGTTCTCTAATAGTGATGATGGTTTATCAGTAATGTATGTTTCTAAGCTATTGTGATGAATAGGAGTTAGTTCATCAGTTTTGTGTTTTGATCCGTATAGTACCTTTTGGCATGACACTGCAGACAGTGTGCATTGATGTGTACATACATGAAAGATTTTCTGTAGTCTGAAGCATATTTGTGAAGTTGTATTTAAAGATTAGCTTGTTAATGGTGTGTTTCAGGGACATGTAGGTAATTACTTTTACAGCTGTAGATGGGTGATGCTGTCTTTTGAATGCAGAATAAGTTTCTTCATTCTAGCTGAGTCAGCTCTTTATTATATTAACCATTGACTTAGATGCATGCCAGTGATGGGCAGGTTTTCCGTTTGCTGTTGCTCTGTAAAAACACAGTGCTCCCATGAAGATTTCTGCAGGCCAGCTGATAAGACTTGCTCCTGTGTAGGTAGATGCAATGTAATGAAATTGGATGTGTGTGTTGAGCTTTGTAAATAAAATGAGATTGACTCCAGCCATTATCTCATTTATCTCATTTACATTGTAAAATCAGCATCTACAGTATTGATTAGAGGATAATTAGTTAATTATGAACAGGAAAACAGAGTTATGTCAGGCTTGAGCACAGCCAGCTGTACTGCCTAAAATAATAAAAATATCCAAGGACATGAACAGATGGAGATCACTTTATTAAAGAACAAAGCAGACATATTTCAGGTATAGAAATGCGTAATCAGGCTTTCTTGCTGTGAAGATGTAGCTGACCTGCATTTTGTATTTTATAAGTGAAAAATATTTTCCTTTATTATTATTAAATTTGCTAACTTAATGCACCAGAATCCACCTTTCTTCTTCAGACTCCATTTGCTTGTCATGTAGTGGGCATATATCTATCCCAATTAATTGCTGGAATGAGGAACACGACAATTTCTAATTTTGATGCATGAAGTGATTTCAGGGTTGTTAAAACATTGATAGTAAGCAATTATCTGTCAGTTAAAGATAATTTAGAAGGTTAGTTTAGCTTGTATTTGTGTGGAGCTCTGATTTTCATAAAGTTTTAGGTCCATTTGCTAGCCAGACTGAAAATGACTGGGCACTTAATCGCAGTTATAGATTATAGACTTAACAATGACAAAAAAAAAAAAAAGAAAAAAAAAGAAAAGAATATCCACAAATAACTTTTCCTAGTTTAAGGGCAGTTTTGGAAATGTGACCTTGAATCTTCAAAGGTAACAACTTTAGCTTGATTTTTTTTAAAGTGGAAGAAGCTGAAGAGTTTCTTGGTTTTGTATCTTTTTTCCCTCAGCCTGATAGTTTAACACTGACTCTGTTAAACTGTTCTCAGGATGGAAGTGGGTGGTATTTGTAAATGACAATGCAGTGTAGCTCCTTTGCTCTGTAAGCGTCCAAGTTGTGACTGATCTATGAGCACATCTACTGGAAGACTGTGAGGCTGTCAGCGTGACGCTTTTAGTGACCCAGCAATTTCGATCTCTTATTTAGTTTGAAAGTGTTTTCTTATTTTTTGAATCTTACTGTGGATTTTCTGTCATTTTATATTTCTAGACAAAAGAACACAGTTGTATTTTCTTCAAGGCTTAGTCTTAGTTTAATATTGCCATTTTCTAACATGGACATAAGGTTTTCTTCTGGAATTATGAATTATGAATACCAGTTTTGTTCTCTGTACTAAGATATGTTTAAGGTTCACTTTTTGTCCCAATTCAGTGTCAGCAAACAACAGGCTCGCCAGACAGCTAACACACCATCTTTAACCACAGTACAGTCTGTATTCATCCAATTTTCCCAGCATCATGCTCCAGGAACTTCAGGTTCTGTGAAGTTGTATTCATCAATACATAATTGATACTCCAATAAAAAGCAATATAAAGAAACTGTTTCAAAATATTTGACATAGTCTCATTTTTAGCTATGCTTTTTATATTTTGAGAATGCTTTGTTGTTTGCATTTTCTCAGCTGTGCAAGTGCAGATAGCAGCTATCTAGTATCTGAAACCTGTTTTGTGTCTGTGCATTTTCATAAGTGTTAGCTCATTCTAGGAAAATGCAATTTTTGTCCTGTAAATTACCCAGCTTTGAAGTAATGAAAGTAATGATATAAATTGAAAACGCTCAGTTTTAATGGAGCTTTTGCATTTACTTTCTCCACATTCTGGTTATTTCAGTCCAGCCTTTGCAGTCTTTCTCAGCATACTTCTGAAATGTGGCTGAAGGTGAAGTTAGGAAATACCACTTTCTAGGTACCAAATTTTATACACACGATGAAATGTGGCAAATTGTAATTCTGAAGGGGAAACAGCATTTGTTGAGCATAATATGTAACAGTTCTGTGTATAGGCAATTGCTTCAGAAAAAAAATGCAACCTGAATTGCTGCTATTTAAGCCAGATGTAGGTTTTTAGGATTAAGCTCTAAAATACTCCGTGTTCATCAAAAATAGCATTGAGTCTTCATTTTATGTTACTTAGTGGATCTCAAACAGCTTACTAGAAGGGAAACTAGAGAGCTCTGGTGAGCACTGCTCAAATGCAAGTACTTAAGTGTACAGGATTATAGATATGAAATATGTTAGTAAAAATGTATTTACAAATGAGAGAACATTGAGTCTGAAAGGAGGTTTGGTCTTTTCTTGAAGATCACATATGTCTTTAAAATACAGGAATATAATCTCCAAGTCAACCTTTTTGTTACTTTAACAAGAAATAAAACTACTTATATATTTAAATAGTTTATTTCTACATTAGAACTAAACAGAATGACTTTCTTGTATAAGTTTTCAGTGTGTTGTTTGTCCTGGAATTACAATTGTATTATTACTAAATTATCCAAAGGCCTTATGAGGAGCGGCTGAAGGAGCTGGGATTGTTCAGTCTGGAGTAGAGGAGGTTCAGGGGAGACCTTATTTATCCCTATAACTACCTGAAGGGAGGTTGTAGTGAGCTGGGGATCAGCCTCTTCTCTCATGTAACTGGTGATAGGACCAGAGGGAATGGCTTCAAGCTGAGCCAGGGGAGATTCAGGCTGGACTAATAAAAACAGTACAAACAGGACCTTTAACAGTGCTCATGTCTTACGTACAATGTGTGAAAACAGAGGGCTTCCCAAGCAACACAGATTTGACAAGGACAAATGTGACTACTTAGATAAAGTAGTTATCATCATAAAATAGTTACCTCTCTTGTATGTGGAGACTAATTCCTGGAGTCACTTGTGTATTTTCTTCTTTTAATACAGCAAGGTGTTCTGTTACTTCAGTCCTTCTGTGATACAGTGCTTTTCTCTTTGTTGATAATTATAACACCTTTGTCTTCTATCTAGTGGTGATCATGCCATACTCTTACTGCAGTTTTCAGAGATTTTGCATGTTTTTGTAGTGGAGAAATTGGTATCAAGGGAAGCAAAGAGAGAAAGCCCAAGGAAATTCTTAGAGATTCTAATTCTTAAATCTTTATTTCTTACTTTTTTATTATTTGCAATGGCTTTCATTCAGACTCTATTTCAGAAAGATAATATTGTAAAGTAAATTTGAAAAAAGCTTTATTTTTCATATGAAAGGCTGTAGGGGGTATGCAAATAAAGTGAAGTTCTTTAAAATATATGAGAATATGCTTTTAAAATATTTTTCTCCTTTTGAACGTATCCTTTCAGCACTTTCCTTTTGTGAAGGACTTCCTATATTGTAGCATTTCTTCAATTCTGGTACATTAAGAATAGGTGAGCAAGGAAATTACAATATTTGTTTTGAGCTTCACATCTGGACTAAACAAAGTACAAAACAGTAACAAAAAGATTTATTAAAAAAAAAAGTGTTATTTATACATAGGACAGTTTTTATAAATGAAAGATCACAGTGAAATATCACAGTCTTTTTAAATAGTCACCCCTTTCCAGCACACTGGAAGAGAATCAGAAAATGTTTTGTGCCTTTATTTATGAACTACATAGTTACAGTTTAAAATACCTGATTTGTAGCTGTAAATTATACTTGAATTATTGAATGCGTGAGCGATTCACTGCCTTGTAAAAATAACTAAGTGAAATGACTATGAAAAATCAATATTGCCATTGTTTAATAAAAAATACCTGAATAAAGGACAAAAATGAACTGGCTATATTCTTTTCTTTGATTAGCAAGTCTCTTAAATAATATCATTTATATGAGATAGTGATGAAGGTGATGCATGAGTGTCTGCATTGGAATATTCCAAATTTGGCAGAACATACTTGGCATTTGAAAATTACACTTGTAGAAGATGTACTTTTTGTACCCTGACAATGGATCAAAGAATCTTGCACTGAGAATTGCAGGGAAGCTCAGTGTAAAATAATACAGGAATACAATTCACATATACATAGATTTATTTATTTTTTTCTTTCACAGATGCGATGAATGCAGACTCTGTTACCATTTTGGCTGTTTAGACCCTCCCTTGAAAAAGTCTCCAAAGCAAACTGGCTACGGATGGATCTGTCAGGAATGTGACTCTACATCTTCCAAAGTAAGTTAATTCATCCTGTGAAGTAGTTGGAGTTTTTGCCATCTCACAGCTGTTGTTGAAATGCTAAATTGATCTGCTCTGAAAAGCAGGAGGTCATAAAATAATGATTTCAGATTCTCTGTAAAACAGGTTAAAAAAAAAACCACAACACCAGAATGTATGCAAAATGAAAATAATCAATAAAGAGAATTTTATTATCTGAGTTACATGTTTTCTCTTCATATTGTAGTGTTCTCTCTGAGAAAGGAGTGAATAAGTGTACTCTATCAGGATTGGTAATATTACATAGAAGTGAAAGTGTTTTTGGATTAGTATAGAACAAAAACCTCTAAGAACAGAGATAGCAAATATATCTTTGTCAAAATTAATGAAGATGGTTTGATTGAATAAATCTGTTGATTTTAGTGGGTTTTGTTTGTTTGTTTTTTCAACTACTGCTAAAAATTGTGGAAGTCCTCAATAGTTTATATTGATGAGTATGCCTTGATCAAATATATGACATTTTAAAGTCAGAATTAAAATTCTGACATAGATTTAGATTTTATCTCTTAATACTATAGACAGAAATAGTACTCTTCTGCAGTACTAACTTACTAAAAGATAAAAATGTGCTTCTTTGCTTTTCTGTACAGAAGTTTCCATAGTACTGCATTCTCTTCTGTCGTCACCTTAACCTGGCAAGAAATACTATGTACTTGATTTTTAAAATTGGATTTACAAATTCATCTGGTACATCAATGTTTTGTTGGTTTTTATTTGTTTGTTTGTTAAAAAAAAAAAAAAAAATCTGGAATTTTAGTTTGTTCTGCTACTTTCTTGGTGTTTGCAGAATATTTTCAACTAAAAAGGACACAGCTATTGCAGAGGTGCTGTCATAAGTTATGTGTTGGCATATGTGGATGTTGCTCTAAAGAAGCAGATACCAAATGTACAAGTATAGTTTTTGACTTGCGACTAGGAGGAAATGGTTCTCAGTTTCATGTGGTGGGGGAGTTAATTTAATTCTTCTGTAAGGAAATATGAAGACAACCATCGGAAATTAGCTGTCCACTACATTTTGGACATCAAGAACTCTCTCTTGAGTACCACTTACATGGAATGGACATTCCAAGAGTGAATTGAAATTATTGAAGTTTTGTTACCTGCTTAAAGCAAAACAGGTCCTTGATAATGTTAGAATTTCCATCTCCAATTTGCTTGACTTCTTCTGAGTAAATAAACTCAAAAAAGCAGAGTTTGTAACAACTTCTTCAGGAGATTAGAACGTTATGTACCAGATAAAAAATATAAAATACTTTATTGTGTAAACTAAGTATGATTGACATCATTTTAGTGCAGGGCATGTGTTAATTTTAAATTGAAAACCACAGTGTTTTGAAGAGTAAATGAAATTTACTGTTAGATTGACAATGTATTTTGTATTATGTTAGTGATACAAATTAAAAAAAAAAAAAAAGCTTGTTATTGTATCTGATTTTCTTTTTCATTCCGTAGAGACTTCTAAATGAGTATATTTAAATAATAAAGTCATTTGCACTTTCAAATTTAAGCAATTTGAATGTATTTGAATGAAAATGGATATGAAAGGTGCTGAAAAATTGTCTTATGAGGACTCCTTGTGGTTTTGGGTAGCCACTTTCACATCGCTTTTTCACAAAGCTGTACAGAGAAATGCTCTGAAAAAGCTGCATTTTTCTCTCTGTTTTAAAGTATTTTTCTAGAACATTTGCATGATTTTACTCTATAATGTGTTACAAATTCAAACACTTTAATATTGAGTTACACTCATTGCAAATCTTCCTTAAAGTGAATGTGATTTTAGGAGGTTAGGGCTTTCTTTATGTACTTCATCATTTTTGCATTCAGTTTTCTATGTGGTTTTACTATTGTGTTATCTATCACAATTTGATGAGACTTTTTCTGCCCCTTGCTAGAGGGAGTAGTCCCTCAGCAGTGTACTTAGAGATAGGGAGAGGAAAGCTGTAGAGAAGTTTGCTTGTTTGCTGCACTCTGCCTGACCTATGGATGAATTGCAAGCTTGAGCTCCCAGCAATTTCAATCTCTCAGTCACTTACTAAATCCAATTTTTGGTATGTCACAGTGAAGTTTCTAGTACGGATTATAGCAGCAAAATAGGATTGAATTTCCAGCTTTTGCCAAGGAGACTATTGTTTAGTTTTCATTCCTTCAATGTTTTTCATCTGCTATGATCCAATTTAAATCACTGTTAGTGTATGTGTTTTAAAATTCTGCAGTGATGTCTTCTGCAGCAGTCTTGGCCCTTGGAAACAATTGGTAAGTAAATTACACTAATTCAGTGAAGAGAGGTAATAGTGCACTGCGTGTAATCTTTAATGGTTTTTTACTTATAATTACAAGTTTCAATTTTGTATGTTCAGGAAGATCTACATAGCACTGGCAGCAAGTAATGTGTTTTTATTTTCTGCTTTTACTAAACACTTGTTGATGACCATGGTGTAAGAGATGTAATGTAGTGATAATAAATGTACACTTTACATTGCCATCTATTACAAGTGTGGACGTTCTCCTTCTGTTTTGCTCATACAAGTCACAGGACTCTCAACAGTTGTGTCAGTTCTTTCACCAGCATGGAGGAAGAATTCCCATATTAACCTGCCTGTCAAACAACAGACAGGCAGAGACTGCTGTAGGGCATGAGGGCAACAGCTTCTCTGCTGGTAATACTCACCGTCACTTGATGGAATGGGTGAAGCTCACTACTAAAGTCTGACAAGGTCTCTCATCTCAAAAGCCTTGTAGATTTTGTTGCATCACATGAAAGCTGAAGTGAACCCATAGGCTCTCCATTTCTGTAACACCATCCATCTGCCTGATGTGTTATGGTGTGTTTTAAGTATTGTCAAAAAGCACTGTAAATCCTAAATGTCATGATAGTTTCAAATAGTGATATTCAGAAGGAAAATAGAACATTTAAAAGTATAATTTCATAAAAACCAACAGCACAAAATTTTTATTATTGTGATGTATCATTCAGTAGGAATTAATGTGGCCTGCCCATGTGTTTATGATGTGATTTAAGGGCTCATTATGGGGTCTCATTATTACTAAATGTGGCAATTCAGGAATTCTTTCTATTGCCTTCCTTTTAAAAAGTCCTGTTTGAAGCATCTCTTTCAATTTCAAAATTTTGCAAAGTACCAAGGCAGCAAAAACTTTAAAAATATATCATGCTAGTTGCAATGACCATAGTCATTGACTTCTTTGGTTTCTATTTGTTCATTTTTGTGTACAATCATTTTTGCAGAATGCTGCAGAGTGTACATGTCGGGTCATTATTTGAGTGCTGCAAGATCAGCTGCCTTGCCTGTAGACTTCTGTTTAGTTTGCTTTTATTTCATCTTCTTACAGCATTGCGTTTTTTCAGTGGAAATAAATTGTCAGAGTATGTGCATAGAATTTTCATCTAAACCCCTCAGTAAATATTTTCTGGAACTACAAATCCATGACACACCAGCCCTGGCAAGTAGTATTTTTTGCATACCTTTCATGTTGGAAAGCAATTGTGGATACTTTTACTTAGTAGCAAAGCAGCAGCACTTCTTTTGGTGTATCTGGCTTTCAAATCTTAATTTGGTCAGAAAAAAAAGGAAGTTAATTCTTTTTGTCTATAGAATTTTACGCTAATAAAATGATGTGAATTTTTAAGAAATTCTCTGAGATGAGAAGTTTCTCATCTGTTCTTGGTTTATCAATTTCATGATGTCTTTAATTTTTAATTTTTAAAATTATTCCTGTATCTCAGAGTGTGTTTTCTCACCCTTGCAAGCGACTGTGTTCATAAATAAAAGTAACAGCAGAACTAAGAAATCCCAATGTCAAGCTCTCAGAATGTAGGAAATGCCCAAATTAAGATTGTGTGCAGCACTGTATTCTTCTTGTGGCTGTGCATGAATTTATAGCCTTTAGTAAGTTCACACTGTATTTTTTTTTCTATAGAACCTATGCCTTCTCCCATTTGGCTTTTGGAGGTCACTGAAAGAGAATGATCTGGGTTGAGTGTTAAAAGAAAATACTGTCTTCAGGTTCTGCAAGACACAAAAACAAAAATTTCATCATTTCAGGGACAGAAAAGAAAAAGATTGCCCTTATGTTTGAAGTAGGCTGTGACTGGAAGATTGAATTTTACCCTTCTCTCACTCCAACCTCCTGTGCATGCTAGACAAAATAAGCATTTTTAGATGTTTAGTATTTTTTTTTTTTTTTCCTCATTTGCTGCTGCCTAGCTTGGATCCTTTGGCCTAACATGCAAAAATGCTGAATTCTGAGAGCTGCAGCTGGTGATGGTGTAAGATGGTGTAAGCTGAAAGTCATCATAATGATGTGGTCTGGATTGTTGCAACTGAGTAACAAATTTATGGGATTTTTAATTCTTTAATCCCTGTGTCTTAACTTCCTGGTTGCCATTACTGTGCTCTTATTTGAGACATTTTCCTTAAATTTCAATGGATTGTTCTGTCGAGCTGCCTTTTCCTATCCATGGTCTGTAGGGGCTAAACAATTTAGATTAGTGAAGGGATTAGTCTGAGTGGAATTCTGTTTGCTTGAGTACTTGTAGAAGATGATGGAATTTACATTGCATTGACATACTTTATCCAGGCATTTACTGACATTCAGAACTGTGCATTTCCAAGAAAGTGGAAATGTTTTTAAAGTGGAAAAGTTTTTAGAGGTTTATATATACGAGAAAACACTATTTTAATATGAAATGTGAGTTTGACACAAACTGGTAATTTTATATTTGTGCTTAATCATGTCTTATATATGTTTTATAGTAATTTGTAGTTGTCGCTCAGTGCAAAAGTAGTTACATTTAAAACACATCTTTCCAAAAATACACATAAGATTTTGTATTATTAAAGGTCCTTTGTATTAACTGAAACTTTTTTTTAATTGCGTATTCTGACAAAGGGTGACTGCAGTGCTTGTAAAGAAGCCGTGACCCTAATTTAGTCAGTGCA